CAACCGATACTTTGCCAAATGGGTGAGGAGTGGTATCAATGCGCTGCTCCTTCACGGAGATTACAACGTTATATACGTGGGCTGGAAGAGCATCAACGAGCTCTTTATGGCCGCTATTATGATCAAAATGTTCAGCGAAGACTTGACACAGTTTATCATGTTTCTCAAGGTATGGCTTATAAGCTATTCATTTAGTTATTATTACTTTTCAATACAAAAACTAACCGCTAATCCATTAGAAACTACTATTTTTTCAATTGACATGCAATTTCTAAAGTCGTGTATAATTTTTTGTTTTGCTTCCCTATAACTCTTCAATAGATTTAAATTTTAGTGCATTTAAAATATGAAAATTTAATCCATACATATTTCATAAGATATGAATTTTTAATTACCCGACTATTAATCACAAAATATATCGAGTTTGATGTTTATTTTATTTAAAATATTTATCTAATATATTAATGAAATTCAAATTAACAAAAAACGTTGAAAACAACTGGTTTTGCGATAACTATGTTATAATATGGGACCGCAAACGCATTCCGATGGCCCGAACCTCTCAGCTCGACCGATGACTACCGGGTGCTGTGTTTTATCACGCTTTGAAAACCGCTAGCATTCGTCGAGGTGTGGGGTTTTGGCGTTTAATTGTCATCGATTGCCATACATTATAACAGATCCATTGATTAAATTAATAATTATTACTTTATTATTAATCATGTGAATAAAAAAAGCCATTCATTTAACTCAACGTTAGACTACATACGAAGAAATAACTGGCGATAGTATTCATTGTATCGGCCATTCTTTGGGCTCATTCTTGTGTGGATTCGCCGGTTCTCTCACTTATATCGGACGCCTGACCGGTAGTTAAACCAAAATTACACCATAAAAAGTCTTCATAATTAAACCCATGTTATGTGTACTGTCTATACGCCTACCAGTGCTGGACGCGGGGCCGCGACCGTGGTTTGAGTCGATGCCTGAGTCGGAACGGATCAATCGATGGCAGGCGGGTTTCGTGGACGTCATCCACAGTGACTTTCATCCGGCGCTCTCGTGGGGACTCACTATACCCGTCGGCGATTTAGACTTCTACCCGAATACAGCGCCACAACCGGGTTGTATGCGAGACAAGTTGGTGCAGGGCTTGCGAGAGCTCCGGGACGAGGGTCTGGTGGTGGGCGTCTACCAGTGGGCCCGCTATACCCTATTCTGTTCCCACTATCGATCGCATGAGTGGTTCTTCGAGTCCGTGTGGAACAAGAAGTGCCAGTTTGTGGCTGTCAAGTGTCCCACACATCGCATGTTTATGACGGGTCAGTGCGGCTGCGATACAGCGCCCGACTCGTGCGCTGTTATGGGTATCGACGCCGACACTGTCCTCGTGAACAGCGGCCGCTTCCCGACGCCCGGCAAGTGGTTTATCAAGACATCGGACTTTGTCAGAGAGACGGGCACTCATTGTCGTGAGTAAAATAGGAAATTGTATTTTGAAAATTGCAATTCAATTATAAACTCAATTTAAAATTACATCAAAAAAATGTTGCGATTATATCTGAAAACTTATTTTTAGTCGCAAAACGGCTTTAATTTTTTCTCTCTTAAACAACTTATGTTTGTTTCATTCATAACCACTAATTCATACGTCAATCACAAGAGAAAACTATGTGTTCAGTCAAACAGAGCGTTAAGAATAGGGTTTTTAGTGTTTGTTTTAGAAGTGAATTAAATGGCTTTTCAATAATTAGAGGCAGTGATAGAAAATTGTGAAAACGTTATTATTATTTCTTTGTAACTCTTAAATACCTTTTTCAATGTCTTAATCAAACATTTTAATTGAAACGATAATAGGAGTGGAAACTACTCCTAAAAATAGTCGAGTAATGCGATAGTGATTTAGGCGGCGATTGTTATGTCGGTCTACATAACTATAAACCACTCATATTTGGGTCACTATTTTATATTGATTACAATTGTTTCAAATGATTAGTAATATTTGCTGACAATCAATGAGTTGCCGAAAATATCGATATTATATATATATATATATTTGCTAATAATTCTATTGTCTTCGGGTTTCCCATCGATTAACCTCTTTATCCCAAATACTAAACACATTTTAGTTTAAAAATCAGCAAAAATATTGATTTAATTTTAGCAATAGAATTGATTTACTAGTAAAACAATGCCTTCATTTGAATTTATCTTATTTTCTTTAATTAAAATTCAATTAAAAGTTATATATCTGTTATCCAACTCTATGCCCACTTCTCTATAGTATTTCAATACCAAATTGTCGTACAATTGGCACAACTCTTCCCAATAAGCAACGGAACGATTCTCATAACAATCCATAGCGACAGTGATGTCACAAAAGAGCTGATTCAGGCGCCGGACAATCATTTATACCCGGGACTAAGGTTTGGCAAACTGGCCGTCAGAATGACTGCCATCACAAATATAAGACATGTGTCCATCAGTTGGACATTAGATGATGAGTCAGTGCAGCCCTACAAAGAGCTTCTAAGTTGGATCAGTTTAGAGTACGTCAAAGTATCGCCAATTATCATACCATACGACCCATTATTGTCGGCCAAACATTATTGTAGTTTTGAACCACAGATCAAACCCCAGCAGACAATCAATCTTAGACTATGTTAACAATATGTGACGCTATTTTGTAGTCAATAATATAATTGCCTAAATATTCCTATTATTTGTTGTATAATAATATTAATTATAACTACATTAATAAATTAATTAAATCGATATTTATTGATATTTTAATACCAAAATATAAATAACAAAATGAAATAAATCACACAAAAGAATAAAACAAATTAATAACTAATCAATTGAAATGGAAATCAGAATAAAAAAAACAAGATAAAAATCAATTTGTCGTTTTTGGCACTGAATTTAACACAAAAACGTTATAAAATGTGTATTAATTTATTGAAAGTATACAAAACTCATGTCGTGAATACTGTCCACGCATTTACTGTTAATGTATTTGACAAAACGGGTGGTCTTCTTATCTCTGTAGACGATATTTAGATTATTACTGAACGGATCAATTGTCAGCAACTCTTCGTCCTCTCCTCTCGCGATATACGACACGAAACCTCCCTTTTCTCGATCGAACTCATTGTCGCAATTGAAATGTATGACCACATCCAGCGCCGGCTCTTCGCTCAGTTCGGCGCTGTTGTCGTGAACTAACGTATAGCACGAGTGAGACCACCGACGGATCTCTCCTCTGCAGCGGGGGTTCTCTTCACCTGATTCTGTCCATTCAATTCATACATTAATACAACAATTAAATACTTATTGCATTCATCAATGCATACCNTTCGGCGCTGTTGTCGTGAACTAACGTATAGCACGAGTGAGACCACCGACGGATCTCTCCTCTGCAGCGGGGGTTCTCTTCACCTGATTCTGTCCATTCAATTCATACATTAATACAACAATTAAATACTTATTGCATTCATCAATGCATACCGTCTTCGTCGCTGTCATCGCTATCTGATCCATAACTAGTGGCCAACTCGTGGAGCTTAAGGCCCGTCAGGTTCGACAGGATTAGGAATACGGCTTCGGAGCGAAAGAGTTCGTACGCTTCCAACACAATGGCCGGACAGGTGGAGACCTGTGCCGTCTCGTATCGCCTCATATTTGGCGGACAATTAAACTTCCAGACAATGGCTTCGCTGTCACTCAAAGCTCGGGCCAACTCTTGATACTTATCGCCGTTGAAGAAGTCCTGTAACACTATTTCGGACAACTCTTCAAAGCGGGACTGAATCTCCATTTGCGTCGAGTCGTCCAAATAGATGGGATTAATCCACGCGTTCACCACATCCAGAGGCACTTCTGTGGCCGACTCTGTGCTGAACGCCGGCTCGATATAGCGTTTCGGGCGTTCGAGTGGTGACCCGTGGAACCAGCCGTTGACACTCAGCCGGATCTTGTTGTCGGACAACACTTCCGACACCTGATGCCATGTGATTGGATTCACTTCGAAGAACGCTAAGCGATTCCATTTGGGCGCCACAGACGCCACGATCTCCGATGGCTCGCCATTGGCTGTCGAGGTGTGAAATCAATTGAGATAATGACTCTGGAGATGGTTCTGGACTCACGATTGACATCAAATAAGTCAAGTAATCCGCCGTCACTTGTCTTCCAGTCGGGAACCAAATACAGTATGAAAGCGACTCTTCGGCCGTCGATCTGGTCGTCGTCGTCGTGACACAAGAGGTAGTCTGACATCAAAGACAATACACCATCGATGAGATGATTATCAATGACTGAATCAAATCACTTACCGTTTTGTTCATATCGGCTGACAGTGAGAGCGATGTTATCATTGAGTGATAGGTTTGTGAGTCTTTCGACGAATGGCTTCACGTGTTTGGCGAAGAGTTGAATATAACGTTTATAACCGCTTTGAAAGTCAATAAATATAACTTATATTTTAACTTTAAAATTGTATTTCTTTTGTAAATTTTTTGACAATCAATTATACGGGCGCTGAACGCATGAAATACTTCACAACCCATTGTAATGTAAATATAATTAGAAATTATCAATAATTATAAGTTTTATTTTTTTGCGAAAAGCAATATTTAGAAGGATCTCTTGTTTTTGCTGTGAAATATTTTTTACCCCAAAAAGATATACAAAGAAATAATTACTTAAAAAATGTTTGAAAAAATAATAAAACAAAACAACAAAAATATCACTTACTTTTAGTTCTGTTCAGTGAATAGCAGTTATGCATAAATAAAGCTAATATTAAAGCGATTGTAAAGCAATAGTTTGCGCACAAATCACATAATGTTTGCGATATTTTCATATTTAACGCATAACATTGTCATTAGTTATATAACTCTTTTGAGTTTTATAATTAAAAACATACTAATTTGACATTTAATATACATTTTAATAATTTTCATCACTTTTTGATGTAAATATTTTGTTTGATTTTTATAATTCAAACAAACATTAGCGACAAAGTTATTATTTTAATTATTGAAACTAAACATTCATTTTAATTATCTCTAAATGAAAACCTTATCAATCGATTGAATTCGCAATTAATTCACAAAATATTTGTATTTTCTATAAATAAGAAACAATTCAGTGATTGAAATGAATGAAAGAACTAAATTTGTTGAACACTTTAAACATTGTGTTAAACCCAATAAGAAAGGGCTTATTATGTATTAAAGTTATAGAAAACTTACAAATTGTATGAAAAAACAAGTAAACAGAAGAAGAAAAGAAGAAATGAAAGAATATTATAAGTATTTATATGTGATGGTAAATTATAAGAATAGGGTGTTTTGTTGGTGACTGACCTTGTTGTGAGTGAAAATCCAAAAATCACTGAACGATAACAATGGCTAAGCTATCAAAATAATTGATAGAAGGAAAGGGATCGCCAGTTGAGAGTAAATGTTGCCTCAATTTGGGACTCCGGCGCTCGCATTACGTGATGGCTAACAACTGTATCCCAAATGTGCGATCGCTTGGGCACAGGTTGGCAATAGGCTCTCATCATCAAAAGGTTGCCCTCCTTTTCCACTCATATTTTTGTTGTTTTGTTTTATTATTTATTTCAAACATTTTTCGGGTAATTATTTCTTTGTATATCTTTTTGGGGTAAAAAATATTTCACAGCAAAAACAAGAGATCCTTATAAATATTGCTTTTCGCAAAAAAAAATAAAACTTATAATTATTGATAATTTCTAATTATATTTACATTACAATGGGTTGTGAAGTATTTCATGCGTTCAGCGCTCGTATAATTGATTGTCAAAAAAGTTACAAAAGAAATACAATTTTTAAGTTAAAATATAAGTTATATTTATTGACTTTCAAAGCGGTTATAAACGTTATAA